TACACTGCACTTCTGCAGTTGTATTTATGTTTAAGGGATTCATAAAATCTGGGCTCCAATCCAAGTTCTATCAGAATTCCTATGTTACCCTAGGTAACTCAAGCTCTCTGGACCTCAGTACTTTATTCATAAAATGTAAATAATAAAATTTTCCAACTTCGTAGGCATATTCTGCAAATATATTCAGTTTTGAGGCACACTGATATGACTGTAATGGAAGCCATGTAAACATCTACACAGCTAGATCAGGAAGACTAGATTTCTTTGTCCCAACTTCCATGATTCTATTAAACATCTTTAGAGGGGTAGCCAAGTTAGTCTGTAGCAGGAAAAACTTAAAAAACAACAAATATTCTAGAAACACTCCTGTCATCTGAAGAAGCGGGTTGTGTCATAAAACACATCATTCTGTGATACATACATTAGGAACAGAGGGCCACATTAGACCTGAGTGAACTATGTTTTACACTGAGGTTGGATGATCACACGTCAGTGGTAGGCCCAAAGCATATGACCAAATATAAAAATGAGAAGGATGGGTCGTTTGTGTTACACTTGTAGTGACTCCTGAAATGCCAGCATTATCTTAATTAAGACATGGGCTGACTTAACAGAAATAAAGAAAACATAATAAAATAGGTAACAGATACTGTAAATAATTGGCTGGTTTAACGTATTACAAAAAATGCCTCATCAGGCCTTAGCTAAGGTCTGATAATTAACAATGAAATTACTTGATTATTATATAATCCTGCGGGAATTCTGTGCCACTGTCCACGTACAGAATTTATGTCCATCATAGATCTTTGCTTCCATGCAGAAAATGACTCAAAAGGAAACAAAGGGAAGCCACAGGAGCAGTATGCTTCAGGTGCTCAAGGAAGCTGGCAGAGATGTAAATCACTATGGGGCAGGGGACGGGACTAGGGAAGACTGGGCTGGGCTCAGGAGAACAAGACTTCCTCTTTCTCTGAATGACATCCTTGGATGCATCAGATCCTGCAGTGAGGAGAAAAATCTGAGGGTAGAAGATCTGCAACCTCCTCAACCCCCACTTCCTGCATTCATTATTCCTCAGCCACAGAGAAACTGATCCCTGTGCACAGCACTGCTCCCCCATCTTCCCAAAGTTTGCACATAAGACCCCTCATACTCAGACCCTCCAGCCGAGTCTCATCACCCAGCCCCCACACTCAGCACACCCTCTTTTGAGCCCCATTCCCCTTGCACTAGGACCACCTCAAGAAGCCACTTGCACCCAGATCCCCTTCCCACTAAGCCCCAACCAACTGCACATGGATCTCCACCCCACAGGGAGTCTACACGCTGCCCTTAACAGCCTATACACACACTAGCATCAGAGACCATGCACAGCTTGACCTGCTGCTCACAAACAGGGAGGAATTAGTAGAGGAAGTAGATGTGGGTGGCAACCTGGGAAGCAGTGATCGTGAGATGGTCGATTTCAGGATCCTGACCAAAGGAAGAAAGGAAAGAAGCAAAATACATAACCTAGACTTCAGAAAAGCAGACTGACTCCCTCAGAGAATGGATAGGCAGGATCCCCTGGGATGCTAACATGAGGAGGAAAGGAGTCCAGGAGAACTGGCAATATTTTAAAGAAGCCTTATTGAAGGCACAGGAACAAACCATCCCGATGCACAGTAAGAAAAGCAAATGTGGTAGGCAACCAGCTTGAATTAGCAGTGAAATCCTTGGTGAATTTAAACAAAAAAGGAAAGCTTACAAGAAGTGGAAATGTGGACAAATGACCAGAGAGGAGTATAAATATATTGCTAGAGAATTCAGGGGAGTAATCAGTAAGTTGAAAGCACAATTAGAATTGCAGCTAGCAAGGGAAGAGAAGGGTAATAAAAGGGGTGAAGGGTTTCTACAGGCATGTTAGCATAAACTTCATCCCACAAGGCATACCGGGGAGGTCGACAAATGTCTTTGATGTCGACCCCCGCGTGTCCAGACGAGCGCGCTGAGCCGACAAACAGCTGATCGGCACAGCGCAGCAGCCATTTAAATTTAAATGAAGCGATGATTATTTAAATCGCCACTTCATTTCCCTATGCCCGGTAGCCTAATCTACATGCCTCTTTCGCCAGAGGCATGTAGGCTAGACATACCCTTAGTGACAGATGATGTAGGAAAAGCTGAAGTAGTCAATGTTTTTTTTGCTTCTGTCTTCACAGATAAGATCGGCCTCTCAGACTGCTGATTAGGCAACACAGCATGGGAAGGAGGTGAGCAGCCCTCGGTGGAGAAAGAACACGTTAAGAATTATTTATAAAAGCTAGACATACACAAATCCATGAGTCTGGATTTAATGCATCCGAGGGTACTGAGGGAATTGGTAGATGTCATTGCCAAGCCTTTGCAATTATCTCTGAAAAGTCATGGAGATCAGGAGAGATCCCGGATGATTGGAAAAAGGCAAATGTAGTGCCCATCTTTTAAAAAGGGAAGAAGGACAATCTAGAAAGCTACAGACCAGTCAGCCTTACCTCGGTCCCTGGAAAAGTCATGGAGGGGATCCTCAAGGAATCCATTTTGAAGCACTTGGAAGAGGGGAACATGATCAGGAATAGTCAACATGGATTTATCAATGGCAAGTCATGCCTGACCAATCTGATTAGCTTTTATGATGAGGTAACTGGCTCTATGGACATGGAGAAGTCAGTGGATGTGAGATATGCCTTGATTTTAGCCAAACATTTGACAGTCTCCAACAATATTCTTGCCAGCAAGTTAAGGAAGTATGGATTGGATAAATGAAATGCAAAATGGCTGGAAAGCTGGCTAGCTCATCGGACTCAACGGCTAGTGATCAATGGCTCGATGTCTGGCTGGCTGGAGATCAGTTTCAAGCAGAGTGCCCCAAGGATCAGTTCTAGGGCTGGTTTTGTTCAACATCTTTATTAATGATCTGGATGAGTGGATGGATTGCACCCTCAACAAGTTTGCAGATGACACTAAGCTAAGGGAAGAAGTAGATACACTGGAGGGTAGAGACAGGGTCCAGAGTGACCTAGAAAAATTCAGAGATTGGGCCAAAAGATATCAGATGAGGTTCAACAAGGAAAAGTATAGAATCCTGCACTTGGGACGGAAGAATCCTAAGCACTGGAACAGACTGGGTAGGTAGCAGTTCAGCAGAAAAGGACCTGGGGATTACAGTGGATGAGAAGCCACATATGAGTCAACAGTGTGTCCTTGTAGTCAAGAAGGCTAATGGCATATTGGAGTACATTAAGAAGAGCATTTCCAGCAGACCTGGCGAAGTGATTATTCCCTTTTATTCAATATTGGTGAGGCCACATCTGGAGTACTGTGTCCAGCTTCGCGCCCCTCAGTACAGAAAGGTTATGGACGAATTGCAGAGGATCCAGTGGAGAGCCACCAAAATAATTAGGGGGTTGGAGCACATGCCCTATGAGGAGAGGCTGAGGGATTTGGGCTTATTTAGTCTACAGAAAAGAAGAGTGAGGGGGAATTTGATTGCAACCTTCAACTTCTTGAAGGGACGTTCCAGAGAAGATGGACAGAGACTGTTCTCAGTGGTGACGGATGGCAGAACAAGGAGAAATGGTTTCAAGTTACAGTAGGAGAGGTCTAGCTTGTATATTAGGAAAAACTGTTACACTAGGAAGGTGATGAAGCACTGAAATGGGTTACCTAGGGAGGTGGTGGAATCTCCATCCCTAGAGATTTTTAAGTCCTGGTCTCTTCCAGCCCTTGGATTTTATGATTCTATGACCCTGCTCCCTGCTAGGTACGGTGCTGAACAGAAAGGCCTGATCCTTCTCAGGCATTACAAAGATCACATAGTAAGCTAGTGGTAAAATTAAAATAATCCAGATCTCTTTAATCTGTCTCGTGCACTATACACTGGACCACACTCCTTCACCAACCTTATTTTCACTAAAAAGTTTATTAGTTGTAAAAATCCATTACTGTTTCTTATACTCTTTACAATGATTTTTTTAAAAGTTTCTTCTCTTGCTCATGTTTTCACAATCTTGCATTTGGCAAAACAGGTTGGTAGCAAATGTTTAGATCGTGGGCCTAGCTTCCAAAATCACACAATGTGTATGTTAGGAAAGGTATGCTAGCAACAAACCTCATGTCCACAAAAGTCAACTGAACAAACTGGGTAGATGTCTACTCTGAACAGACTAACAGTTACAAAGTATATACTATGAAGCAGGGTCTTTTTATTTTAGCATTTTAGTCCAGAATATTTTCACTTATCTATTTACAAATGGAGGGAAAGACAAATGTCTTGAACCTGATTACTCTAAGTCTCGCCAAAGTGGGGGGTAGAGGAGAGGAGACATGCTACAGAGTTCTGTATCAACTACATTTTCCTACTGGCTCATGACTTTCAAAATCATAGAATTATAGGGCTGGAAGAGACTTTGCACAAGGGCTTTGTCAAGCTGAGACTTAAAAACCTCCAGGGATGGAGATTCCACCACCTCCCTAGATAACCCATTCCAGTGCTTCACTACCCTCCTAGTGAAATAGTTTTTCCTTATATGCAACCTAGACCTCCCCCCTTACTACCCACCAAAATGATGTTGTCCCTGACAAGATTTAAAATGTATCTGCTACAAACTAAAAAAAACCAAAAACTTTTATTTAGCCTCATTTTTCATCACTAGAGGTACTAATGTAGCTCAAAATTACAAGAGTTGATCTCTGGGGCAAGTTCACCATGCTCAGTAATGATACCCACACTGTGTGAATTCCATGCCACAGTATAGTTTCCATTGATCAGTCTGACTCCAACAACATATGGGTGAGGACAAAGTCGCAGAGCTCTGTAACCAGGTGTGCAGTGCTATCATCAGGGATGGTGGTCCTGATAGCCTGTAATCTGTCTTCATGTGCAATGTTGTTGAGAAGAGTTTCTACATCCATGGTGGCCAGGATGGTGTTTTCAGGAAGATTACTGATGTTTTGTAGTAACTTCAGGAAGTCAGTGGTGTCTCAAAGATAGTTAGGAATGCTGGTAGCATAGGGCCTAAGGAGAGAGTCCATTTAGCCAGATAATTCTGCCGTTCCTCCTGGCCACATGCTGCACCTTTCCTTGCTCTTGCTTTCTCTCCCTGGTCTGACATTCTACTGCCAGCCTATTCCTGCAACCTCTCACCTAGAACTCCCATCCTCACCCCCTCCTGAGCCCCACCTCCTGCCCAGATCTTGCACCTTGATCCCTATCCCACTCGCTGACAGCCCTGTCCTGCACACTGAAATCCTCATTTCTGTCCCCACCCCAGAGCTTTGGTGGGGCGGTTCACAAAATCCACTAACCCCAGAAGAGTAAATCCAGCCCATGGGAATCCTGACCCTCAGTCCTCCCTGTCCATCTCACTCGCCCTGTGGGGCTGGAGTGCCAGAGGAGTGCGGTGTCTCATTTGGGGGCCACAATGCTTGAGATGATGGGTCATCTGGAATTTCCAGGTTTGTGTATTTTGGGTGGCAGATAGAAAAGTCCTGGTTGAGGATTAAGGCGGGTTTTAGTGAAAATTTGGTCCTGTGCAGGAACAGGGAGCTTCATGAGTAATTGTTTCTGTGGGGAGGGGGCGGTT